CTTTGAGTCTTATTAAAACTACCAACTCCGGCGCTGCACTTTAGGCACAGCGGCTGATGTTCAGCAGGTTTCTAGCATATTTCATTTCCTGTATGGAGGAAACATTGACGGATCACCACAAGTTATCCTGAAATCTAATGAAAAACAATTCAGTAATTATGAAGACAAGAAATGAGTCTAGAGACATGAATGTCAGTACAACATTTAATTGCATCTTATTTATCTTTTGATTGTTGAGATTTAAAAACAGTGGACGGCTGTCATCAGAACAGAATAGATGAGCAGCTATGGGCTTGCTCACTTTCTGAATGTCCTCATACACGGTAAAAATCTAATTTTTGCAAGAGGAATTAATCACTGATGGTTCAAGAGGACATGAGGATACTGCAAGTTTAAAAACTGAAGGAAAAGATCATGTGCACTTGTCACGAAAGATGGACTGATTTAAGTATTTAAGGAGCAACATTTAGCAGGTAATTCATTCCTTGTGCCTGTCTTTGTGAGGAAAATGGGTGAAACTTCGACGAAATACTGCAGTTTTACAGCAGGGAAATGGAAAGATGGAGTATTAAGTATTATTATCTACCATTCTCATGACAATGAAAAAAAATCTTCACGCTCATCTCGGCAGGTTTTAAATCCATCAGTGAGGAAAAGTGCTGTGGCGAGTACTGAATGCATTACTGAACCGGAGTCTTTAAATGTGACAGACTTGGTGAGAGGTTGTTCTCATCTTTTACAGCAGTTTAATTTCATTTTTTAAGATTTTCATTTAGTGTAATTTAAAAAGTTAAAATATAGAACATGCCGCGTACTGAGGTGCTGAAGGGGAGGAAGGCCTGTGAACCAGCTGTTAACTACAAATGCTGAATTTAAATGAAGCGCTAATGCTCTCAGACAGCTGTTAGAACATCTTAGTATCTGGCGTTCTTTATGCTTTTAAAAATAAGACTATTGCGTTCGATTTCTTAGCTCTTAGACTGAACTCTAATCTCTTTTGGTTTTTCTACAGGCTCAGACAGATAAAGTTGTTTTTCCCGCAGTGACCCGAGCGCCCATGTACTGAAGAAACTCGACACTCGCCGCCGTTGTGAGCTATTGATTTGCTCGACCTGTTATGCTCCTAAAAAAAATATGCATTCATCCTTCGACGTTCTCCTGCGAGACTTTTCAGACGAGCTGTCGTAAGACTGCAGCCGCCACGCCCCATGGTCTCCGCACGTCTGTCCGTCTTTCACCTTTTTCCCTTCCTCTCCCTTCCACACACATATACATGAACAGCAGTCAAACAAATTAACTCCACAGAAGCCCCAGAAAGCTGTCTGGCCTCGGCTCGATAAATCACAGGAACACAATGACCACAGGGTGAAAGATAAGTCAGCAGACGTGTCTTGGAGTGTGGATGGTATTGAGGTCTCCAGGTTAGAGTCTGATCGAAGGGACACGCATCCTCTTTCTTTTTCAGCCCCGCTGGCAGCATTGGTCTGTGGATGGCAAAGCTGGTCTATTTGTTGGTCCACCACTTAAACTGGAATTAGATCAGTTGAGATTTCAACTTTATTGTACCTGCACAAGGACTGACACGACCGAATGCAGCTCAGAATCTGACCAGAAGGGCAAAACAGAACAAAAAAGGCACCATTGCCAAAATGTACAATGCATGCAAAGTAATGTAAACAACTATATGTTATGGTCGGGTTGGATATGGACACTAGAACAGTTCTAGTAGATTTATACTGAAAATAAGGAGATAAATAGGGACACACAGATGTGCATTTACAATCCATATCGCCCAGAAACTGTTCATTTAGCACCACCATGTCTCAGTTTTCACTTATTTAGTGCAAACCCTCAACATCAACTACACCGTTAAAAAAAAAGAAATCCATTAAAACAGGTGACAGAAAAAAACATGTTAAAAAAACAGCTGAAATGTAATAAATCTCTGTAAAATTCTGATATTTTTTAGATGGTTTGAATGCAGTAAGTTTGTGTAATTTCATAGTCAGATATTGTAAGGGAGCAAAAAAAAAGGTAGTTTTTAATGTGGATATTGTTTAAAGTTCTTGCTTTTTGTTTTTTTAACAGTCAGCATGTAAATTTAAACATTTTTCAGTAATTTTACCCGTTACTATCTAACAGAACAGGGGAAATCTGTAAAATGATTCATTATTTGATGTAAACATATTGCGTAATCCGTTTAAACTGACTTAGGTATTTGGATATTTTTGGGTTTTATACTTAGTTTAGTTTTTTTTATTTTTATTTTTTGTGTAGCTGGTGTAGGTGTTTACATGTTTCTACCATTGAGACATTGGGTTTTATTCAGTCGGTTTAGTTATTTTATTATCACAGCCTTAGTTTGTTTCTGTTCATTTGGCCTCTTCTAATGAGTGTTTGTTTTTGTCAGTTTTGGGGTAAAATAAAAACGCTTTCCTTCTCTTGCTTTTTGTCTCAGTCCCTCACAGTATATTTGTGTACAGAATTTCCACTGACTTTTCAAGTAACATCATCATCTTGTCAAAATTGTCAGTGTGATCACTACCTCAGTTTATGAGCAAAGACCTGCACTAAAGTCTAGCATACTTGTCCCACTATTTTCTAACTTCATGTTAGCCCAATGAACAGAAAACTACACTGTTAGTTCATGTACACAAGAGAAGAAAATGCTCTAAAAATCTCCATTTTAACATAGTCAGTGAGTCATTTTACCAAGCAGATGTTACCATTCACCTTGGATCCGAACTGTGCCAACACCACCATGCACCTCCACTCATGGTCCAGGCCCCGGCTGCATCATCCCCCTGACATAACCCCAAAAGTGTTAATAACTGTTCAGACAGGAGGGAAGGTGAACAGGCGGTGTTCACAGACAGAGGAAGCCACCGTAATTGTTCATATATATGAGCATGATGACGCACATTCTCACAGTTGAAAAGTGACAGAAATTGTTGTGTAAAGGTTAAAAAAGCAGGTCTTCTGGGAGAACTTTAAACCTTTCATTGTGGACGGTCGGTCACCACATGGCGCAGGTGTGAAACATCACAGTTACAGAAGTGGTCTCGCACAGCCCTTGTCCTAATTCTGGCGTCAAAAAAAACATGAAGGGAGGAGGGATTTTCCAGAGCTGACCAACAATCCATTTCTGTCGAAGCAGAGTCGCTGCCTTAATCTTGCTCCCGTCTCCTCCTGAAGCTGAGTGCACACATAAGCATTTCTTCACAAACACACAGATGCTTGCATGCTCACGCTCTGTCCGACCACAACCCACTGCACATGTAGTGCATGGATCAAGATGCACAGACATGTTTGTTCATCTGTTAGAAATACAAATTTATCTCAGCTATTAGATGTTTTCTAAATTCGCTGCGGCACGTTTCACAGCCACAGTAAAGTCAGTAGTCGTGCTTTTGCAGCTGTTGACCTTTTCACATGCAAAATGCAATCGCCCTCAGCGTGTGAAGAAAACAGGAGTTGATCCAAGACACTTTAGATGCCAATTAATGAGCCCACGGTGTCAAGGAGTTTATACACGTTCCATCTCGGCCTCCCAATCATGACCTTTTCATAATCCCCCCTTCCTGAGAGACCCACTTCCTCATATCTATATAAAATGTATGCATTAGAAGCATAAAGATGGAGGACTGGCAGACAGTAAATCGATAAATTAAATATGATTTATTCCTGTGCAAATTCCCCTTCAAACGCACCCTTGAGTCGTTCTTCTTCATGCACTCGGGTGGTGCATTTTGGTAACACAATCAGTTCTTTTTCAGTTGTACACCTGTAATTGTCACTGTAGAGGCAATAATGTTCTTGTCATTTTCGTTCACACAACATTAACACGTGGACCCACCGCAGGATCCCGAACGTGTGGTACAGGGAGAGAAAGTAAGAGTTTTGGTGCCCCCCTGTGTTAACAGTGGGAAATGAGAGTTTTGATAGATAAGTGAGTCAAGACGATGATGCACACTGATTGAGTGAAATATCCTTTAAAAACAAATGTGAGACACTGATTCATAACTTAGAAGAAATAATGATTTTTTCAAAATGTGACTTTGGCCAAACAAATGACAGAAGCCAGAAGTGCATCATCTGGGTCTCTGATGATATATAGCAGGAAAAACATAAGTGGATGGACAGATGAAAACCAAACACAGCAGTTCTGTGTTTCAAATTATGACTGAAATTAATACTATTTCTCATTTTATTATCAAACACACCTTTATCTGCAGTGCTTCCCTGCAGCTGTGCAAAATCTAAAGGGTCAAAAAATGATTTCCAGTTTGAAACACTGCAGAGAGCATGCTGGGTAATCTGTCTGTACAGGGTCTTAATGTTGTAACAGTTGTGATTGCATGAAACAGGTATTGTCATATTCCTGTTACTGTTGTGGAAAAAACTGGTGGCTGGAAGTTTCTATGTATAGAAAAGTATTAAAAAGCAGTCCTTAGTTTTAACAGCTTTTCATCAACTCCGAGTGTGCTTTCAATTTATTATATGACCATTATAACTCAAAACATATATGCACCATTAAATGTAATGTTATCATTATAAACCCACTGAAGTGCTGTATGGTGCTGTCTGCAGCAGCATCCAGTGAAGAATAACACAATACAGTATGTAGATGATTGTTTTAATATGAGATTCTAAAGTCAGGCTCAGAGAAAACTTTCTTTCTTACAGAGATTGCTTTTTTTTTTATTTTTATTTTTTTAACAAGTTTATGGCCTGAGGAAGCATTTCCTCTATTATAAACGGAGGCCTTCTAACTTTATGACTTTATTACTTTATGGGCTTTCTGTGACTGAGTCTCTCTAAGTTGTGTCTTGGATATTAAATGAGCTAAATCCAGCGCTGTTTCTGAACCCTGCTGTGTGTCTGGCTGTGCAGCAGGGATGTGAAGCTCTCAGTCTGTGCGGAGCCTCAGCGGTGCATCTTCTCTCCAACTGCAGCCACAGAGCAGCGGCGGCGGCAGCGCGCCTGCGCAGTGCATCCAGGGGCTCGGCGGCGTTCGGTGCTGAAGTGGGGCGGATGGCAGAAAAACAGCGGCGATGGACATAACACCGCGGGATACCCATTTACGATGTCGTTAAACGAGCATCGGGACGTCGCGTTTTCCCACCTATCACCCTAGGACGCTGACAGCTCGACACAAAGGGGTAAGATGCTGATTATTCCGCGCTAACGCTCCACACGGGCTGTATGCTAGCTGACGTTAGCATCGGAGCTAGCTGCTGCCGCCGCCGCTGCTCGGCTGCCACCGCCTCCTTTCGCTGCGAGAGATAGCGGATCTCAGGGCTGTCGGCTAAAGCTAGCGACGAGAAAAGTGGGTGGTGTTTGATTTCTGGAAAATGTCTGTGCCACAGAGAGCACCGTGTAGTCTCCTCTCTCTCTCTCCCTCACTCTCTCTCTCTCTCTCTGTCGCTGCGGTGTCACTCGGCGGTGTCCAGCCGGGAGGGGATCCCCTCTCTGCCGGCTGGCTGCTGCTCGGGACTCTGCAGCGGATGGTTCGGGCAGCTGCAGGAGGAAACCATGCAAAAAAAAAAAAAAACAGGCAGCCGAGCGGCTAGCCAGCAGAGCTAGTGAGCAGAGGGTGAGAGCAGGGTCCGATGAGCCCGTCTGCTCGTTATCTGGAGATATGCTCAGGCCTTCGGGCAGATGCAACAGATCCAGTGCTGCGACAGTCACCTCGGTGCATCCACCATAAACTATCCTGTCAACTCTGACACTTTGAAGCCTTTTTTTTTCCTCTCTCTCTTTTTCTCCTTTTAATGTCATGCACCGGATAGAGATCATGTAATGCACAGCTGAGAGAGCACCCTCACTGCAGTCTCCCATGGGTGTGTTGAGTCAGAGGAGCCCAGGTTGTGTTGCAACTACATCCTGGGAGACTTCCTGATTGATCTCATTAAAGTCGGACTCCTCATTCAGGGAGGTTCGACTGAACAGCAGCAGCTGCTCTGAATATGTGAGATGGATGTTATTTGCTTGTAGGGTGGGTATGTTTTACTGGAGGATGCACGGCAGTGAAACAAGCAAATGATCTTTGAGTGATCTTATGTGAGCTCTGCATTTACATTTGTTGGAATCACTCACATGATTTCTGATGTAGCACTCACAAAGTGCAGCGTAGGCCTCATTAGTGACTCATCAGCAGCTGTTTTCCAGCTTATTTCATCTGAAAATGGCTAAAAGTTGTAAAAAATCTTTGATATTAAGCAAGGAAAAGCATCAAATATTCATAGCTAACCTGTCGGATTCACCGGATGTTGGCTGCAGGTATAAATCTGACACTGGATGCTCCTTTCAGGCGACTTCATCCATCTCTTCCTCTATTTGCGTTCCACCATTTCTACCATTTTCTACCTCTGGCCTGCAAACTTCCTCACCGACACACAATTTTGCAGAGGATTTGTTGGTGAAGTAAAGCAGCCTGGCTAGTTTTTTTTTGCAGAATTATCCGTTTTGACGACGATGCTCGCCTTTCTCCATGTAAATGTTTCAATCAGTCGCTCTCTGAGGAAACACCGAGGCCCATGCTTGGCTTTGCCCCACCCAGGATGACTGAGATGAACGTCCTTAAAATGTCAGAAAATGGTAAAAACTAAAATACCAATCAGCGTTTCCCAAAGTCTAGGATGACGTCTTTAAATGTCTTGTTTTGTCCACAACCCACAGACAAGTAAAGAAACTGGAAAGAGCGTCAACAAGCTGGATCAGAGAATTTAGATTGTTTTAAAAATGAAAAATGACCCAAACCGATGAATTTATCACCAAAATAATTGGCGATTCATTCGACAGTTGAATTGATTCATTGGTTAATCGCTGCAGCTCGACTTGAAAAGCAGTTTGATTTGTTTCAAAATACTTCCCAATTCTTTTCCTTTGAGCGGACTAATTAATTAATCAGCTAATTACTTCAGCTGTGTTCCAGACGGGCCTCAGAAAGACGCCGCCTTCCTGCTCCGTCAGCTCCTCCAGCTCGTTTCTCTTCTGTCTTTAGGAAACATGTTACTAAAGTTACTTCGTCTCCCTCCTGGGAATAGAAAGAAAAAAAAGTCTCACAACGCCGAGGCCTTATCTCTGCACACAGCTATGCAAAATCACTTTTCATAGACTTTTAATGTACAAGGGAAACTTTTGTTTTCAAACCAGTTTAAGCTGGCATGAGCAGATATCGATGCTTCCCTCGCCGAGGCTCTGGCGTTTGCAGCGTCGAGGCGGCGTGTCGTGTCATATGGGGAGAGACGGCGGCTACATGTGAACTCTCAGATTGGCTTTGTGCTGCGATTTATCTCGCTCGACATCACCAAAGTGTTCCGGTTAAATGGCAGTTTGTTTGTTTGTTTGTTTTCTCTCTCTCCTCCGTCACCAAGCGCTCGCTCGAATGAAACCACCGGGTTTGTGTCTGCAGTGCCGTAAGGCCTTGACCTGACGCCGTGAAGTGCCCTGAGATAACTTAAGCTGACGCTGCTATACGATCAGATTTGATTAAAATGAGCTGTTTTTAGGCCAAAAGAAAGAATGGTGCTCAGAAGAACGGGACGGATGTGAGGTCACAAGTTTGACAACTAAAATCTAATCAGTTGGTCCTCGAGTACAAGTGAACATTTGTGACAAATTTGAAGAAATTCCTTCAGGGCAGCTGGACTGTCTTGAGTTTCTACAAGACGTTGCACCCTCCATAAAAGAGGCTTTTTCAGTTAAAACACTGTTTTTTTTTCCATGATGACTGAGGATCTTAATGGATGTTTTGTTCAAGAGGCTTTACTAGAATGGGGCAACCCGAAAACATAACGTATTGGCGCCTGTATATGAAGATAAAAACGGACTGAACTATACACTAAATAAGGATTATTTATTCTAGATTGCAAAGCAGATCATTTTCAGCGTGTTTTCTTTGCTAATTTTAGTTTCTACGGTGCAACAGACGACCAACAGTTGATCATATAAAGTAGTTCCACTGTTGAGGTGAACATGTGGATTCCTGCCTGGACAACATGCAGCATGAGGACAATCTCAGCAGCCTTTAGGCTTCCTTCAGGGCCGCAATCCAGCGTATAGCATCTGGCAGTGATTGAGTGTCGGGTTGCAGCACCGACGATGAGCTTAATCCTCTTGCAGGATGAATGTTTAAACTAATGCAATGATGACGACAAGCCTCATCAGTCATTCGCTGCATTTGGTTCATTTCCTGATCTGGTTTGTTTGGGCCTGTTTTGCCCCACATCTGTTAGCTTATCACAGATTATTAGTGTCAGTGTGTGTGTTGGCTCCTAAGTAAGGAGTAATTACTGCACAAAAGTGTCAGCGATATGTTTGTGATCATTTACGAGCAGTGTGACGTCATGTTCTTCTCACTGATTAATGCGGTGCTTAATCTTCAAATCAATCAGTTATTGATTTGGTCAGAAATAACAAAGTATTGTAGTAAAAATGATATATACTAATATTGGAGTTGCTTCCCCAAGCGAGGGAGTTTAAGTGTCTCGGGATCTTGTTCATGAGTGATGGGAAAATGGAGCGCGAGGTGGACAGGTGGCTCGGTTCGGTGTCAGCAGTAATGCAGGCGCTGAACGGGACCGTCGTGGTGAAGAGGGAGCTCTCGATTTACCAGTCCACCGATGGTCACCAGCTCTGACCGAAAGAACGAGATCGTGGATGCAAGAGGCCGAAATGAGCTTCCTCCACAGGGTGGCTGGGCTCAGCCTTAGAGGTAGGGTGAGGAGCTCAGACATCTGGAGGAAGCTCAGAGTAGAGCCGCTGCTTCATCGCGTCAAAAGGAGCCAGCTGAGGTGGTTTGGACATCTGATTCAGATGCTTCTGGGGAGGCTTCCTCTGGACGTTTTCTGAACACGTCCACCTGTGAGAAGACCCCGGGGCAGACCCAGAACCCGCTGGAGGGATGATGTCTCTCGGCTGGCTTGGGAATGCCTCGGGATCCCCCAGGAAGAGCTGGAAGACGTGTTTCACCTGCTGCCTCCGCAACCCGACCCCGGATAGGCAGAAGAAAATGGATGGATGGATGGATGGATGGATTGATTGTAGTAAAAGTTGCAGCGTTCCACAGCAGATATAGATGCCCTGGTGATAAACACTTCATCAATATCATTGACAGATTAGTTTGATGGGATGCTCGATGGTTAAATGTGTTAGATGGAAACTTCGATGCCAAAATGCAGAGTTCGGTTGTACAAACAAGCCACAGGCGTGCTCCCTCCCTGCCTCATAAACCTCGCCCTTCCGTGCAGGTTTCCCGAGTCGCACTAGTCTGTGGTTTCCTCTGCTCTTGCGATATGGGCTTTGCGGTCTAAAAACATCCTCAATACAGGTTCTCCTCCCACCTCTGGTGTAACTCCTGAGCAGTCAGTTGGAACCTTAACTTTGCACTCCACGTACAGTCGGCTTATACGAGCTGTCTTTATTTAATGCATGTCAAGTTGAGATGGTTCCTTTACCCTTATTTAGGTTTATCGTGTCTAACTTTATTTATTTGTGTGTTTTTTTGTTGTTAAATTACTACCTTTGTATGTTTTTAGATTTGGCTATAGTGATTAAACTAAAAGTGAGGTGATTAAATTCAATATAAACAGAAATACTTTAATAATCCTCGAGGGGCGAACCTTTATGCTCCTGGTCTTTAATTTAAAAAAAAAAAAAAAAAAAGCTTGTTGGAATAATCATAAATCATCGATGCTGACTAAAATAAATAATTTCAGTCAAAATCGCCAAGCGCTGCTTCAGACAAAAACTGCTGTGCTTTTTCTCAATGCTGATTGGCTCAACTCTTAAGACGACAGCACTGATTGGTTAAATTCACAAACACTAGCTAGGCGGCACTTTTTGCAACCTTGATGTCCTTGTTGAGTAGCCGTCTTGTTGAGTGGTGTTCTTCCATCTAGAATCATCAGGATCCTTCAGCTTGACCTTCTCTGATTTGCTTGAAGCTTTTGTAGCGTAAACTTCGGATCTTTAAAATGGCATCTGTGAAATTTTAACCTGATAAATCAAATACTTACCGAGATGACTCACTTTCAGCACGTTTTTTTTTTGCGCATCTAAATTTGAGGTTACGTTTGAATGCCAATAACTCAGCAACTGTTGGAGCTAAAAGTTTGAAGTTTTCTTTGTTGTTTCTCATCACGTCATTGACTCGCAATCTGTCATATCGGACAAGTAGATGAAATATGAAAAAAAAATGAAGCTGTCATGTAAAGTCTTTGAGCTAACATTAACAAAAAACCTGAAACATGCCCTACGTGTTTGTAGAACCAGAGTTATGTCATTTACAATATTTGACGTTGTCTTGTCGCACTCAGAGGTGACGTTGGGCTGTAGCCAAAAGCCACCTTTCTACCTTTATGTTAACCGGCGGATGAAAATCTTCTGTTGTAATTGCGACTGTAAATCCAGCTTTTCTTCTTCCTGCCTGTCTTCCAGATGCTGTTCTTTCACCGCTCCCTGTACTCGCATGTCCATAAATGACCCTTTCATCGAGACCCGAGGAAGCCTAGGAGGCGACGGTGAGCCAAGCGAAAAAGAAGCGAACGAAATAAGGAACCAAGGGGGGAGGACGTAGTCGCATCTCACCTCAGCTTTCGAGTCCATTTCTGCGCCAGTCGGTCAGGGATGGTGACACCAGTAACCTCTCTGCCCTGTGGTGAAAAGAACGTCATCGCCGCGCCCAGCATCTGCAGCAAGCCAAACAGACACTCAGACAGTCCACCAGTCAGTCACTTCGTCAACCAGCCTGCTATCATCCAGCAACCTATTACCTCACGCCATGACTGCTCTGTCTGACCTGTGTTTAGGAACTCACTAATTCATGGTAAGTTTGACGTCTGTCCAGTAGGATCGATGTTAACAGCAGTGAGTTCAAATGTTTTAGATTTTTAAAGAAAAGTTTCCTAGAAGTTCAAAAACCTCTCAGCACTTGTTGGCTGGTGCGAGTTGATATCCATCAGGTTCCACTGATTCGACATGACCAATCAGACCGTCTACAGTATGAAACCAATCACAGTTAGATATCAGAGAAAACCCCCAGCTATTAGATAACAGTGTGTAACATTCGACTGGAGGCTGCAGCTGATTTTAACACCAAAATGGACAACTGAAGGCTGAAGATCCCAGCACACTGAGTGAAACGTCTTTGGATGTTAGTTACCAACATAATTTTCACTCTACCTAAAACTTCTACGACTACATAGACCTCATCGTTTAAACAGATGATTGGGGGTTACAGCTGTGACAGTCGTGCTGTTTGGAGACGAGGACGTTTCATCTCTCCAGTAGCATTTCTGTGATTCCTCTCACCTCAGATGCAAGTGAGGGAAACTTGGATGCATCAGTGGAAAATAAAGAATTCACCCTCCCACATGCCTGCACACACACATCCTGCTAGCTTAGTAAGTTTATGAATTTATTTCGATTTGACTTTTTGTCGTCTAGGAATAGACCTGACCGATTATTGAGGCCATAGTTTGGCATCTTTCTGATTATCGCCATTCATCGATTATTGATGAATTAAATGCGCCAGTCTGGCCTCGATGTAGCCGCCTCTCTCTCTCTGTATGGTCTCAGCATTGTCCCGCCCACAGCTCTCTCTGATTGGTTACAAGTAACAACCAATCAACTCTGACGCTCTAATTGACAGACACCTCTGTAGCAGAACACAACCTGCAAAAACTGCACAAGAAGCACAACCATGTCCCAAAATATCAGGAAATTATGCTAACTGCTAGCAGCTAAGCTAGGAGGCAGCCACAGATTACAATTCTGGAAAACAGTCACTAATAATGCTTTAAGTTTTGGGCCTTTGTAGGGAGTAAAAGTGACAGAATAGGTAAAGAATAAGAAAACAGAGAAAAGAAACAGACGTACCTGCAGGAGACACACTTGTTGTTGGTCCCACAGTAAACAGACGAAGGTGTCCTAGTGTCCCATGAAGCTCTGACACCATCACTTTTATTGCTGTTGTACTAATTCACTTATAGTTATCCTTATATTTACAGCATGTGATTGCAGGGTCACTCATATTAGGCTTGTTTATTATATTACATTTGTCTGCCCCACATATCAGTTATTGGTCTTTCTTGTTTACCAATAATCGGCACTGGCTGTGAACAACCCACATATTATTACTAAATATGCCCCTCTTGCAAATTCCTCTCGTTGACCTGTAGTTAGAGGACTTTAATTAACCTGGTACTGTGTTACAGGTTGGAGAATAAATGTCACAGAAAAGTTCCTTTAAGTAGAAAGCCACAATGTGAGACCAGATTGGGTGTTTTTCCTCCCAGCTGGGTTACTTTTTACACTTTAGTAGGACTGATAAAAGGGCTGCGGGGGAGGTGTGAGAATCTGGACTGCTGTTTCTACCTCTGAAACAAACAATACGCTTTTAAATTCATCCCTCTTTTCCTCTAACTAGTATGATTGCTATTGAAAGGGCACTAAAAGTTCAGTTGGGATGTATTGGCGGTGACTAATACCTGGTCAAACTGACCGAAATCTAATGTCAGTTTATTATAACAAGGTTTTTTTTTCAGATTTTTAATGTTTACAGTAATATCAGTCCAAAATCTTTGCAGAAAGAAGAAATCATTCAGATTATGTTCAATAGTTGTGTTGCTATGCTGATGTTTAAGCTGATTTTCTCTGTGATTCTTCGCCTTAATGAAATGAAAACTGTGGCTACCTTTACGATGCATTGGTGGGTTCTTCTCTGCTTAGATCTGGTTGCTTTTAGTCAGTCAGATCTTAACTTATTACAGGACTTTCACTTGTGTGCAGTGACTCTAAACATTACCGTCCCCTGAGCTACCAACCTGCGTCTTGCTTCTACACGCTGCTCTCGTGTTACTTTTGCACTTTCACCTCCACATGTGTGATCCGTGCATGAGCTCGAGAGGAAGTCGTGACAAAGTCTGCAGTTTGCAAGAGACAGACATTTGTGAAACAGGATGTTTGTGCTTTTTGCGTTGTGTTTGTGAAGCAAAGTGGAGGCTTCGAAGCTGGATGATGATTGGACGATACGACGTTCTTGATATTGGCAGTTAAGTTTTAGTAACATTCTACGTCAATCAATCGGCCAAACATGACCGAGGGGGGGTTAAATTGAGTACTTACTGCGTCGTAGCCCTCTTTTTCCCCTCTCATCTCGGCGTATTTGTATTTCCACTCCATATTTGCATCTGCTGCCGATGCGGCCTGCGTCTCCGTGTTTGAAACAAAGCCGTACCCTCGCCGTCGTTTGCATCCGGCAGCCTGTTTTTTCCGCCGGCGCTGCTTGGCTTGCTGAATAACTGATGGCCGCTCGGCCGGCATTTGCATACGAGGCCGGTCGTCAGCGTTACCTGCATCATCACCATTGTGGTACATCACATGTGTGCGCGCAGAGCAGAGGGAAAGAAGGGAGACGGCAGCTTTTTACGCGTTCGATGAGAAATTTCATGTGAGCAATGACTTTGGAGGTGAGAGTTCTGCTTCATTAATTACACTGAAGATTCCCGGGTTGCAAGACTGTAGTTAATTAGTGCGCTTTTCACGCCACGCCAATTGGTAAAGTGAAGCTTAAATGCCCTGAACTGTGACCTGAAATCTGTGGTGATAAAGGAGTCGTTAGTTCTGGTGTATGTGTTGGATGTTGGAGCTGTGGTGGTGGGAATGTTTTCAGTTCAGGCATTAGACTGAGTTTTTACACAGTGGTGTCTTAATTTTGAGGAGTTTGAACGTACAGGCCGTTGTGTTGCTGAAAGAACTCATCCTCTTACCTTCAGAATCTTTCTAACTGTGCAGTAACTTTCAGGGAGAAGGTGAACGCTTTATTTCCTTGTGGCTGATGGTATAATCATGCAAAGCTGCGGCAGTGGAGAAACAGCTGATCACTGTCCTGCTAAACTCACCAAAAAGAACATCAACAATGCACGACTCATGCACAAGTGTGTTGAAGTTTAGAAGAAGCTGGGAGTGATGTTTTCTAAAATTATAACAACACACATGTTTTCTGAGCAACGTCATGATGTGATGGTGTCACGTAAAACAAACCTAAATCCCTCAGACAGCAGCATCAAAATCAGTTCATCTCCTGCCTGTCGATGTTGGATGCTGCCCGGCAGAAGATAAATACAAAAAAGGCTGAATGGGTTCGAGTGAACGTGCATGAATTTGTGTATTAATCTCACACGTGTGTCTGTGTGTGATATGTAGATCTTCTCCTCTGTCAGCTCCCATTGAAATGCATGTGCAGCGTCCGTCAGAGCCGAGTAAAAGCCTTGGCTTCAAGCCAGGAACCCTCGTACCGTACAAGGAAGGGAATCCTCTCCGTCCTGCCCGAGTGCTTTCTTTCTCTCTCTCTCTCTCTCTCTCTCTCTCATGGTCGCTTCATCTCACACATACTCCCATCACACACTTTCTTTCATTTTTGTCCACTCGTCTGTTTTAACATATTGCTGCAGAGCAAAAACTAAACGTGGGACCAAACTTCTAACTGCGTCCGCTGTCGCAGCGCTAACCGAATTGAAGGGGGATTGAACTTTTCTGTGTCTTCTGCTTGTTTCCTTTGTGAAGCCCCGGAGTGTGAGTGGAGTGGAGATGAGAAAAAGGCAGGCGGCTCATATCGAGGCCCCTCCCCAGGCCCCCGGACAGCCCCGACCCAACACCTGCTGCCTCTGCTGGTGCGGCTGCTGCAAGTGTCTCTGGTAAGAACGGACTTCACTGGACTTCACTGTGTCGCCCAGTTTTTTTATTTTTTGTTGCATCATTTGGTTTTTAAAGTTCACTGTGGCTCCTGATAACTAAAGTACACTTAAAGTCAGAGTAAGTGTTTTTATATGAAAACTTAAGTTCATGTAGGAGGTAATGTGAATTTAATATGTAAAAGTAATTGATGTATGGGTAAACCTGAGTCAGAAATATTGTTAAAATAACTTGGGTTCCTATGTGGAACTCTGGTACAACGATAATGTGACGCGCACACAGACAGGTGAGCACGCTTCTGCTCTGTGATTGGACCAGACGGGCTGCTGTGTTGCACATGAATGGACACTTCCAACGAGTACATTTGAGCAAAACGCGCAGTGCTGTTGTTTTGGTCCGGTCTAATGCACACTGAGCGAGAAGCATGGCAACGACCGAGGAGGAGGCTGAATGCAGGGCATCAACCGACACAGTCGGGCTGGACCCGAATATCGGAATATTCAGTCGTTGTGGTGTCCGCATAGCCGCCACCAGTGGAAACAGAACTGTGACCGCTACCCTAAACTGGCAAATTTACAACTTATGCACTATTGATTTTGGTACAATATAGCTTTAATGCACATCAGAAACAGCTGCTTGCTAAATGGAAAATAAATTCTTAAATTCTTTCTTTTTATTTGCACCAATAAAGTTGTGCAGTTTTGAAGTATTTTGTCTGGCCTCAAATATATCATCAGTTATATCGTTATCGCAAATTTTCTCATTTATATCGTGATAAATACTTTTGGCCATGTCGCCCTGACCTCGCTGAGACGTCTCTGAATTTTTATCGTGTGGCCGAGTTGCATTTGAGCCACTGACGGACTCACAGTTATATCGAGGAGGTGCAGAACTTTTCGTTTATGTGCAGAATCTGATTAGAGCAAACCTTTAATTTCTGGACCATGTTTTAATGAGACGTGTAGAATAAAGTGATTTTTGATAGAACATGACAATTTTTAGCTTCGATGTTTTTAGGTTTCCTGACTGAGCGCCATGTCACAAGGTATCAGTTTAACAACGGTTGCAAAGGTCAACATCGAACGATTCTTTCTGCGTGTACAGTTTCTGGCTGTGATAGATGATATTATTTTTTGGATTTTTTTTAAAGACAACATGCAGAATCATCTCCAGCCTGCAGCTCACTGCTACTTTTCCAGAAAATAACAACAAAACCCCACTGTAGACTATGAGCCGGGCAAACAACAGCAGATAGACGACTTCAGCGGCTCGATGGTGAACACAGTGGAGCGTTTAGCAGCGAATCAGCTTCCTGTAGCAGCCGGTGGAGACCAACACTGAGCTACAAGGGAGAAAAGCCGACTTGTGTTCATCAAGCGGTCAGAAACACGACAAAATAAACGCTGCTCTGTAACTGTGGATGTGTAAACACGAGTAAATGTTGCTGCTGCCCCTAAAGCAGCTGAAAATAAAATAACTAAAAAAATGCAGGTTGCAGTTGTATATCAGCACAAGCACAGTGGTACCCGACACCAGAACCTCTCGCTGCAGTCTTGATTTGTCAGCAGCTACTTTTGCATGCGCTTGAGTAACCCGGTTACTCACACATCCTGTAATGGGAGTGTTGTATGACAGTAAACAAGACTGTGTTTAGCCCTTTCTGGCATTTGATAACTACAGTATAATACTGCAGCTAAAGTCTTAACAAGTGAAGCAGTTTAATGACTGTTTCATCTCAATGGCGGAATAATTTTCAATGTTTTTTCGCGGCCGGTGACTTTTTTCGTTGTAGAAAATCACTTCAAATGCAGAGACTCTTTGAAAAAACACTTCGAGGGAAGAATAAAATCAACCATCCAACCAAACCTCATGTCTGATTTGAACATACAGTCATGACTCGATAATCCCTTAACAATCTGAAAACCTTGCTATCTGAAAGGTTTTTAGGAAAAATTAACAGAACCCATAAAAAATAGCCTTAACATACCGACAGCCTTGGATTCTGACTCTGACATGACATTTAATGTCACAAATCAGGATAACAGCGTATTATCTGACTGAACAATCCCACAGATCGTCTTCGTTCAGACTGCAGGACTTAATGCTCAATTCAGATTTTTTTGTGGAATCAGATTTTTTTGCGAGTTCGTTCACATTTCCAATTAAATGCGACTTGTATGTGATCTGCTGTGTGAACTTCATACGACCCAAAAGTGTCCCGCATGCACAGAAGAGGACACACGCAGCGAGCGTGCTCAGTGTTTATGGAAGTAAGCATGGATGGTGGTGGCAGCGATGGTGGAAACAGAACTGTGACCGCTAACCTAAACTACCATCAGCAGCCAAGTACTGCCTGTGCATTCCGGCCACTTCCACCACGTCAGAGCGCTCCCCTGGGGTGGAAGTCCCCCCCTCGACCATGCCGAATATTCTGATATTCATCATTGATTGAGCTCAGAAAGTGCTATTGGGACCAGCCCTACTAGTTATTATAACAACTGTGAACAATAATTAACAACAAATGACCCTTCCAGCATCAATCCCTCCTTGTATCTCGACCTCCGTCTTGACAATCCGACAGCCTTGCTATCCGACATAAAAGAAGGTTTTACATTTAGTGTCAGATTATCGAGTCTCGGCTGTATTTGCACATTAAATAAACCAAATGAAGAGATTCTGATGTGCAGCACCTTTTAAGAGTTGTATCATTGAGCAGCTTTCTTAACTTTTCTGTCCTGTTTCGATCCTTTAAGCCATTTTTCTACTGTGCCGTTCTTTTGTGCTGCCGCTCCAGCTTAGCATTCGATTTACGACTAGATATTTTTAACCAGTGTCAGTATTCGGAGCTGAAAAATATCCCCAGTGCCTGAAACAACAAACAGTTTGTACTGGCCTTAATCCTCTTTATTTAATCTGTGATGTTGCACTAATGTCCAGTCCTCTAATTCATCTGAATAAATAGACTTTATTCTGACACACAGCGAGGGCCTGATCCAGTGAATCTGGTGGATTAAATTAACTTTGAATTACACTCTTTAAAGTCACATTTTCGCTGCTTTTTTTTGTAGTTGTTGTTGTCATAGTTCTGGTTTTGTGTCACCTTATTATAGAGGATGCTGTCATATTGTTAAAGTCCATCCTGGTAGTTTTGGTCGAGAACAAACCAGGAGTTAAACATCCTATAATGAGCAGATTATTCTGAGAACTTTTGGGTAAAAGAAACGACTAAAAAGGGTCATTTTGGGACAGCACAAGATGAGTTTGTGTTTTTATGTCCTGGTCGGGTTTCTTGTTTACCACAAATCAACAGTAATGAAGCACATGAGCCACATGATTTTCATTCAGGAGTGAATAGAAATTATGCATTTTGGACGGATTCAACCCAGTGTTCATAGTTCAAGGGTTGGCCTGCCAGTTAATATCTGCAATGCAAATGCTGTGGAAAAAAAATAATGCACGGCAGGTGTTTCCATCATATTAGTGTTTTAAATAACCACAGTTCAGTGTTTCGTGGTTGAATAGTGGGCCAGTGGCACAGTTCTGATTAGATTTCAAATGAAACTATGATGTGTTCACTTTGAGCTTCGATGAAATTGCTCAAGATTTTGGGAAATATTTATATTTGCGTTCTTGCTGAGGGGTAGATGAGAGGATTTGTATCACTCTCATGTGTGTTTTTAAGTTTTATTTCACCACATTTGTACTTTTTTTAAACTTGTCGTATCTTTTATGTTAAATCTGCTCACAAACAGAAAGATAAAAACTAGTTCTGGTGTTTCTGTGAGCGAACAGAGACTCTCAATGGATTCTACACCCATCAGACACAACCCTTATACCACCATAGCAGCTCTGATCTATCCATCCATGTGTCTGGCACTGGGATGCTGTCAGCAGGTCCTTCAGTTCCTGTGGGTTGTGGGGTTTGGCCTCAGAGGATCGGGTTTGTTCTGAAATGTTCTGTGGATGTCCGATGGGATCGAAATCTGGGGAGTCTGAAAGCTAAGACAATGCCTTTGTGGTGTTCCTCGAGCCATTCCTGAGCAGTTGTTGCAGAGTGGCGCCGAGCATCGTCCTGCTGGAGAGCTCTGCTGCTGTGTTTTTCATTAGAGGACTTGTTGGTTGCAGCTGAGTCATTTAAGGCTTCCTGGTTGTGCCGAAACAGAGGAATGCTTAGTTGTTTACAGAATTGGTTTAGTGGAATTGCTTTTTATTTTTTGGTTATTTTACCAATAGGGCTCGGTGGTTAGCACCGTCACCTCACAGCCAGAAGGTCACCGGTTCGCGTCCTGGTGAGGACACCCAGGATCTTTCTGTGTGGAGTTTGCATGTTCTCTCCGTGCAGCGTGGGTTCTCTCTGGGTTCTCCGGCTTCCTCCCACACAGTCCAAAAACATGTTGAGGTTAATTGGTGATTCTAAATTGTCTGTAGGTGTGAATGTGAGTGTGCTTGGTTGTCTGTCTCTAAGTGTAGCCCTGTGATAGACTGGTGACCTGTCCAGGTGAACCTGCCTTCACCCTGAGTCAGCTGGGATCGACTCCAGCCCCCCATGACCCTAGTGAGGATTAAGCGGTGCATAGATGATGGATGGATGGATTTTACCAATAATAGACAGAGCATGGTGACTCCACATACTATGGATAAATACGTACTTACAGGATATTCTTAATTAGTTTCCACACACCACCTGCAGTTCAGCCCAGTTCAGCTGAGTCACCAATGGCTTCATGGTGGCACAAAGGAGCACAGAACGTTTATTTTCTTTACAGAATCTGGTTCGAGCTAAAGTTTCTTTTTTTGGAAACACGTATAATGGAGAGATTTTGGTGAAATAACCAGATTTCATGCTTCCATTTGGTTTAGTTTCCCAGCCGAGCAGCGCATCACAAGTGGGCAATTCAAGATATTTTGGAAAAGGTCAACATCAGATGATCTTTTTGAGAGATTTTGAGTCGTGTAAAGTTAGTCACGCTTAGATTTGGTTGTTTTTCCCGACAAAACTGGAAGCCACACATGATCGGTTCGAGAAACATCAGGAAGCTGAAAAGTTTAAGATGTTTAGTGTTTCTGGTGTTATTATCTGGATTTTTTTTCAAAAGGAAATAACACCGTTCAAAGGTTTTGGGGTTCAGATGAGGGTTCAAATTTAAACAGCACTCAGTGAAAAAAAAAAAGCCATCAGCGTCCAACACATACAGTTTGTACTGTAAACTTGCACAAAGACTTGCTGCACCACGTTGCCCCTGAGCAAGGCACCGAGGCCGAGGAGCTGGTATGTCGCCGCCGCCGCTGCAGCTGCCTCGCTGTGGCTCCGCTCTCGCCGGGAGAGAGCAGTGAATGAAACATTGTTTTCAGGCAGTGAATGGTGAATGTGCTGCTTCTTTCACACCACTTCATCTGAAGTGGTGGCAGCTTGTGGACTGTGACTCTGCTGTGTGTTTTTCAATCAAACGCTGGTGTCGGATCTCCAGAAAGAGGCTGGAAAATTGTCTTCGCTCCCCTACATGTTTATTTATTCTAGTGTGAAGGCTGGGAGGGATAATTTGCCGAGCTCGTGACACAGCTGAGACTTCTGTATGAGCTACATGTAAATCACCGAGTGCTGCGTGGCGTTTTTTTTTTTTTTTTAGTCGAGTGCTGGAGATGTGTGAACCAGAAAAGCATCACCAGGTCACGGAGCGTTTTCCATTTTGTTCTCAGTTTTTCTCTACTTTCTGACCCCCCCAACCCCGTACCGTCTCACCCCTCCTCACCCGCCCTCACACGAGGCCTTATCTGGATGGGGTGCCTTCTATTTTCATCCACACATCACATGCAAAACAGCTGTGAAGAACAGCCTGTATATTTAGCTGTATTGTGAGCTCGCCGGGAGGCTGTGGCTAGCTTAGCCCATTACTGCTGCACAATGGGGACTTTGACAAGAGACAGCAAGAGGAAGGAAAGATCCTCCATGGTGGGACAAAAATAGACCGCTCAGTGTGTGTTGCATTGTGCACTCGGCAAGTGTGACTGAGCTACGATAGACAGAGAGGCTACCGTGTGTGTTTGGAGTGTTTACATAAAGACTTTTATTGTTTTATCCCAGTGTGATTAACCCTCTGAACCTCAAAACCTGCCGGCGGGCTTTAAAAGGCATGTTGTGTTTAAAAAAGTCACCCAAATTACCCCAAGTGTCCTTAGATCCAGAAAATGAAACTTATCGAAGCTTATGATCTTAGTGTTTCATCGAAATCACTGTGCTGTAAGAGTTTGCTTCAACCAAGTCCTGCTAAAAAACTGAAAATATGTGCTCATCGGCGCAACTGAGAAGCCATTAGTGACAAAAATTCAGGGGCTGTGTCTGAAATCACCCACTCATTCCCTACTCCTGCCTATATAGTGATCACTATGTAGTGCGCAATGTGTGGAGCACCTTGGCTAAGTAACATTTCGGACGCTACTCGAGCTATTAATTACGTCGCTCGCAACAGCGTAGTACCAACACATCAAATTCACAGTTTATTGCGTAGCTAAGAAATCAAATTAAATCACATTTATTGTCATTTTGCTGCACATACCAGATGAGAGAGCGTTTCTTCAGGATCCAGTAACTTAAAGCGATTTAAATAAAGTGGTGTAGAATGTCCAAATCACAACCCAGCACCGCAATTTTAGCCACGTTCACTGTCTGGGTAAAATAAAGTTTAACAAAACAAACGGGAATTTTTTGCGCTCTCGTTCGTCTAGTTTCCATTTCCTTTCGCGCAATGCATGATGCTCCATATTGCTCAGGGAGTGACCATCGGCTGTACACTACTTTTCACAGTGCATTGTGGGATATTTTGAGTGCACTATATAGGGTGTAACAGTTGTAACTTAACATTCGGACACCCCTACAAAATGGCGTGCACCCTATTTAGTGCACTATGTATGGCATAGGGAGGGATTTCGGACACAGCCAGCGACTTTTCAGCTGAACTGCAGGCTGTGTTCACACTGAGCACATTAGAGACACGTATGGAAACAAACTAGGAATATAAGCAGTCAATTGTGCTGCATATGGTGGTGAAGAACTCAAAAAGGTACACCAACCAATTTGTGTTTCACTGGATACTACATTTCCCACAATGCACCGTGGTTGTGACTCATACTTTGGACAAGCACAACTGATTTCATTATCGGTAGATCAAAGGCTTTAAAATATACATGGTTCAAATGAAAAAGTAGAATTTATAAAAGGAAAATGAATCTAAAGTTATTATAACAATGTGTTACAGAATCTTTGAGACCTCCTGCATCACTAGTTCTACTGTTATGAAAGTGTTTGGCATTAAGTCCTGATCAATGTGGGGTCTTTTTTTTTAATCTGCAGATGAAGTCCTGCTCCTATATTTACACCACACATCTCCCTTATCTGCTCTTCTATGGCGTGTGGCTGCACAGTGCTCATTTAAATGTAGGCATGAAAGACTAATATACTGCTGGACAGTCATGTATTCAGTAAACGTGGCCTACAGCGCGGCTTCCTTTGAATAGCTTCGGATCCTATTTTGTACATTGCCCTGTGGTGTGTTGAATGATATGTGTGGAGCGTGAAGTTAGAAGTGTCGTAGGAGGACGGTTTGAAGTGTGTAAAATGTTCAGACGCTGGGATACATGAAGTGTTTATTAAGCCGGTGCAAGTTTTGTTTGTGGACAGTCACTGGTTGCCATGACAGATGTAATTGATTAATTGTTGGATCCATGGAGCAGCGATAAAGGATTGGAAATGAATCAGATTACATACAGCTGATCAGTCACTAACATTTAACTTCATCAGCTCTTATGTTGATATCGCTGATTAGCTCTTCGGTAACATTTAGATGTAGTTTATTTCTTGGATAAAAACAAAAGTCTGTATCCTGTAGGAATGATTATTGATTGTAGTTAGAGCCCAACCGGTACTAGATGTATGGAGCGGATTCCACTATTGATGTATCAGCTGATATTCTTTCATCATTTATTCAGTTTCATACGATGTATTTTGTAAACTAGAGAGCAGCTGACTGTGAACTCATCTCCTTGGCTCTGATACGTGCTCTGCTACATGTGCTGCACATCGTGGTGACAGTATTGAACAGAATGAAGCTGCTCAGCAGGACAAACTGTGATTAAACTATTTCAAAGTTACCCAAGTACCCTTTTCTGGATTATCTACAATATAAAAAAATAAAAACTTTAACCAGATGTATATGTGGATATTGATATACTTGTTCATTGTTGCAGCCTTAATCAAATCAAATCAAATCAAATCAAATCAAATCAAATCAAATCAAATCAGGTTTATTGTCATTTTGCTGTACACACAGGCAAGATGAGAGAGCGTTTCTTCAGGATCATTTAATTAGTAAGTTTTGCAGAATGCTAAGCGTTCACTCTCGCTGTCTCCTGAAGGGGGCGCTGTGTCCATGTTCACCGCCTTTCGTTGAACCTCTTCAGGTCCTGGTAGGTCTTCAGGGACACAAGGACACACATGATGGTGTCACGATGGTGAAGCCCTAGATGCTGCCCAGAGCTAGCTGTCTGTCTGTCTGTCTGCATCCCCTCCAGCTGTATGTCCGTCTGGGATGTTGTCATGGAGCCATGTTTCTGTTAAAGCAGACACACAGCAGTCCCTCCACTCTCTGTGGGTTTCTCTCAGCAAACGTCCAGCTTGTTGTGGAGGGAGCGGACATTGGAGAGTAGGAGGACGGTCCTGCTGGTTTGGAGGGGTTAGCCTTTAGCCTAGCATGGATCCCGGCTCTCTTCCTCCTCTTTTGTTTACGTTTGCGCTTCCTTCTCCGTCGGGTAACTGCCGGCATAGTCTCGGACTCCATGTTGGTGTAGTATGTCCAAATCACAACCGATCGCCGTAATTCTAGCGCCGTTTACTGTGTTGGGTTCATAATATAATCATTTCCTTCCTCTGATCCAGGAATGAGGACAGAATGGAGAGGAGTGAACGGCAGACCTGCACCAAGATGGACAGTATTGAAGCTGCTGAAGAACAGTAAGTGCAGCCGTCGTCCCTCCAGCGCTGCCTGTTCGTCCGATCGTGTGTTTCTGTCAGTCTCATGTCCAATCACGTGTCCGCCTGCAGACACCCCAGTCTGGACGAGGTGCTGTCGTGGGCTCGGAGCTTCGAGATGATGCTGCGCTCGCTGGAGGGCCGGGAGATCTTCCGGGAGTTCCTGCGCTCCGAGTACAGCGAGGACAACCTGCTCTTCTGGTTGGCCTGTGAAGAGCTGAAAAAGGAGACGAATCCCCCGGTGGTGGATGAGAAAGCCAGGATCATATACGAAGATTACGTGTCCATATTGTCACCCAAAGAGGTGAGCGGCCACAGAAACGCAGACAAAAGCTCGTGTGTCTTAAAGCCTGCTTATGAAATCAAGCATAATTTAGCCTAGTTTCCCCCTAAAGGACAGAAAAAAAAAAGCTCCAAAGACACTTTATCTAAGACTTGATGAGTGACTCTGTGAGGACACATGACTGAAACACATGAAATCAATTTGCTGAATAGCACTCTTGGGCTGGAAATGTGGGTCTGTCAGTCAGTCCACCGCTTTGGTCCAGACTTATGTAGCTCAATAATGCAATAATGGGAGATTTGCTTCAGGCATTCAGAGTCCACAAAGCATAAACCCTCATGACTCTCGTGATGCCCGTATAGCTCCTTTAGTTGCCACCATAAGGACGACGTTTGTGGGTTTGAATGAAATGTCTAAAAATAGTTTGTCTCCTTTAGTATGAACTGTCGTCACTTTGCTGATCCACTGAAACACAATCAGGTCAGATTTAGTCATTTAGTTTGTTTTATGGCCAGATACAGACCATCAACTCCCAGAACCTTAAAACCTGATGAAAGTTGTGTTGTCATTTTAAAATCAGAGCCAAAAATTGTAAAAAAAAAAACCAGAATCTTCAGATTGAGTTTCTTTGAGTTAATCAGGTGTGATTGTTTTGGTGAAACTGACCAAATCCAGACTTAATATTCTGATATTTCATCAAATTCACTTCATCCAATGCGTCTCATTCAAACATTTGCCAAAAATAAACACTTTTCTGCACCAGATCTTGTCAAAAAATTGCAATTGAGAAGCTCTGACCAACACACATGTGCATGACCGAAGTTCAGGGACACTCGGTTGAACTGCAGGTTGTGTTTACACAGAGCAGATCGGCCACAAGTATAGAAACAAACCAGACTGAGGGAAAAATGAAACTTAAATATCGTGTAAAATGCCAAGTATGTGGAGGTTTGGTAAAAAGTAGAGTAGAGCCATCAGTGTTTTTCCAGTATTGGTGACACCTGTGGACAAATGTTGTACATGTTGGTTCCACTTTTTACATTTTTGTAAAATGGTTGTTAAAGAAATTCAACTTCATTTATTTTTATTTTTTTTATAATTCTTGGCTTTATAACTGTCATGCTGCACAGAAGACATCTTTGAGTTCTCTACTTCTAACCATGGTTGTGCTGTTTCTATAGAGAAAAAAAAAAAAGAGCCCACAGTGAGTAAAAATATGACGTTAGCAAAAACCGCTCAGAGTTCAAAGGGTTAATAAAATCCATCACATCCATGCTAATGTTAGCATGCTAACACATTCTAGTTGTAGACTCGTGTTCTTGGTACCAAGCCAGACCGTGATCTTCCAGGTGATTGTGTTAAGTCTAATCAGAGCCGCTGGTGAACCACGAACCACAAGTTAATGAATCGGATTTGTCCTGCTTGTGCTTCCAGGTGAGTCTGGACTCGCGGGTCAGAGAAGGAATCAACCAGAGCCTGGCGGAGCCCAGCAACCTGATGTACGAGGAGGCCCAGCTCCAGATCTACACCCTGATGCACCGCGACTCCTACCCCCGTTTCCTCAACTCCTCCGTTTACAGAGACCTCCTGGCCAACAGGAGGCGCACCTGCCTCGACACCTAGAGCCCTCCGCCCTCCGTCATTGCCATCGAACGCCAACAAGACTACTACTTAAACTTCAAATACTACTATGGTGCCAGAAGTCGGGTTTGGAACATCTCTCCCTCTGTTTTCGATTGAAAAGACTGAATGACATCCAAGATAGCTGGTTGTTTTTTTTTTTGGTTTAGTTTTTTTATTTATATTTTTTAAAGCAATTTCTATCCAGTTCTCCACTGGAGCCAGGTCGGCCTTTGCTGGTTGGTTTTCTTGGTCGGTTTGAGACCAATAACGCTGGCCAGTGATTGTTTTGCTAGCAGTTTGTGCTGTTTGTTTCGGTCGACCGGCCGACCCACGTATCAGCTATCGGTGTGAACCTGATGGCCAGCTGTTGGTTAACTGTGGACAAGGACTCCTCAGGCGGTGGGGACAGAACGAGAGAGAGAGAGAGAGAGAGAGAGAGAGAAAAAGGACAAGCCCACTGTTCCTGTACTGTAATATTTAGACCTCATGCTTTTTACTTTCACTTTAATATTATCTGTCTTTTCTCTTGATTTGATTTTCTGTTCCATTTCCTCACATGTGTTCAATTTTACTTTTAATTTCTTCACTGTCCAAACATGACGCCTAGTTGTTGGTGGGAGTCGGAGCATCTTTGCCTATTTTTTTATTTTATTTTATTTTAATTTTTTTGGTCCCCAGTAGAAGCACTGGCTCTGCATGCGACTCTCTCTCTCTCTACAGTAGCTTGACGATATAAGCCGCGGACTGCAACCGTTTTTTTTGAATACTGAGAGGTATTAAAGGCAGGGGGGAGTTGTCTCTCTGTCTGGCTGTCTGTGTTCAGCGAAGGGAAAAGA